TTGGTTACAAATGTTATTGCTTAAATATAGAATTAAAGCTATACTTGCCTTTTTAACTCTTACTCTGTGATAAAGCTAGAACAAAAACTAGTTTTGAGAATAACGAAGCTTGAAAACTAAAAACATATGCTTTGTAGAAAATCTAAGAATTGTGATGTTTTAACCCAAAGAACATTAACAAAATCCTGCTAATAAGCACGATGCTATAGTTTTTAAATTATGTATAAAAGACAATTACTATTTGGACATAAAGATTACAATTTTAGGTCATAACTTTTTAAAAAGATTTTATTTATATATTTTTTAGAAAGAGGAAGGGGGGAGAAAGAGAGGGAGAGAAGCATCAGTGTGTGGTTGCCTCTTGCACGCCCCCAAGAGGGGACCTGGTCCTCAACCCAGGCATGTGCTCTGACTGGGAATCGAACCAACAACCCTTTGGTTCATAGGTCAGTGCTCAACCCACTGAGCCTCACCAGCCAGGAATTAGGTCATAACTTTTAAAACCAGTGGCACCTTTTCAGTTCTTATTTTATATGGTTAGGACTCTCAGCACTTAACACCATCAATCCCTCTTTCCTTTTTGAAACTTTTCTTTTTTTGGTCCAGAGTCTCCTGCTTCTTTTTCTGTCCCTCTGGCTTCTTCAGGTTTCCTCTGTGAAAAAATTATGCTTGACCTGTCCCTTATATATTCCTTAGATGCCTTGCCGGGGCTTTTCTTATTCAACAGCATCTTTTGACCTGCCTCATCCACTTCTGTGGCTTCCATTAATGTGTGGTCTGAAAGTGGGTGACTCACAGCATCTCCAGCCCATATCTCTTTCCTGGGTTCCAAACCACATGTCCATCTATTTCCTAGAATTCCCACTAAGCTCAACATCAACTTACCAAAAAATTAACACATTATCTTTTGCTTTTCCTCTCCATTATGCAGCCCTCCTTCTAAACTTGCTCTTCCTGCTGGGTTGGGAGGTAAAATAGGTGGCAGTTTGAGCATTGAGGCTCAGGAGTCACTCATGGATGGATTTGAATCCCAGCACCCTAATTACCTGGGTGACCTTGAGCAAGATAGTTTGCCTCTCTAAGCGTCAGCTTTCCTACGCAAAAGTGGAAGTAATAGTCCTGCTTCAAAGAGTTGGTGTGAGAAAGCAATCAGATAATGGTTCAATGCCTGCTCAGAATAATAACTCAGAGAAGGGTATTTCCTCTGCAAGTGGAAGTTCACCCAGGGGTACAGCTCATCCCAGTCACCATCGTCTCTGTTAAGCCAGCTGCCTCCTAATTAGTCTCCCTTCCTCCATTCTTGTCCACCCCTAATCCATTCTCCTGGCAGGACCCAGGAGACCATCCAGTAGCTGCCCTGCGTGCCTGCAGGATAAAGGACAAATTCTGTAATTTAATTCGCAAGACCCTTCTTAAACTGAGTTTTATTTTTATGCCTACTTCAGATCTCATCGCAGAAGCTGTGACTGCCATAACTGTTTTGTAAAATATTATTATAAATCCAATACAAATTCATAAGAAATTTGAGAAATTAAGAAAGAAAAAAGAAAAAAAAACATATCCATGATTCCACCATTGTTAACATTTAGATTTTGTTCTCTGATTTTTTTATTGCTTATACAGAGTGGGGCAAAAGTAGGTTTAACGTTGTTTGTATAGAAAATATACCATACAAGAATAAATAATAATATAAGAATAAACTTCGTTTCATGTCCTGCAAACCTACGTTTGCCCCACCCTGTGTGTACATAGCTGCTGTCAGCTGAGTATGTGGCTTTGTTCATGGAGACTTTCCGTGTTGATTTTTTAAAGTATGCACAAATGTGTTTGCTGTGTTTAAAAATATACAGAATAGTATGCCCCATTCATCATGTATAGCCCACCATTTCTCCCAGACCCCCTAATCTCATTCCCTTATTTATGTCTGTGTTTATGAATAGAAATGTAGTTATTTTATTCAACTTTTTTTCAGTACCATTATCTCATAAGAGTTTTCTTGGAACTTTAATAGTTTGTAGGCATTTCGATGGTGGCACATTAGCAGTGATAGTAGCAGCTACCAGGGGTTGAGTAACTACCACATCCTAGCACACAATTGCTAATCTTAACACAGTCCCTCCTTGATGGATGAGGGAACTGCATGACTAATAAAATACCCGTCAATTCAGACACTGTCCTGCCTCTCCCATGGCCACCTCAAACAGTAGATATGTGACAGGTGATCATTAACCAGTCTTCCCCCATTGTTGGACATTTATGGTTTCTTATTTTTCACTATTATAAGGTAGCTGCTGTTACTGTGTGTTACTAGTCTGTGTCTGCATTTGAAATTGCTTCCTAACAGATTTCTAGAACAGAATATTTTTCCTTTCTGACATGAATTGCCAAATTGCCTTCCTGAAGATTTTACCAATTTATAGGGAGTGATTAATTCTACAGAGAGGGAAAGCAGAGAAAGGGAGTGACATTTCATGGAGGAGGTGACATTTGAGCCAGCTCCTGCAGGAGGAGCAGGACTTTGCCAGAAGACAGGCAGGAGGGGCCCAGCCCTGCCAGCAGCAAAGGGAGTGAGAGCGACGGCACCTGGGCACAGGGAGCCGTGACCCCAACAGAGGCCTTCTGCCCCCTCTGTGGATTTGCCACCAGAAATCCTACTCATTTCCTCTTTTTGGAGTTGACAGGGAAGAGAATCAGAGTAGAGGCAAAGAGAAAGTTAAAATTCTAATATGTGATTTTGCCCTTTCATATATTTAGAAACCATCTCAAATGAAAGCTCCTTTGAAGTTCTGAGACATGCATGTGGGTCTTTCTTTTTTCCTTTCCCCAAAGGAAGAACAAATCCCCTGAGGATTTAGTCTAACTGGGAAACAGATATAACCTCTCTGGTTCCAGCTGCTGCCCTCAATTTAAAGGGGCAACAGCAGCACATGGGACATTAGTCCTAATGTGTATAGGATTCATTACCAGGGTCCTTCTAGTTCTGTACAATGAGGAAATGTCATCAGCTTCATGCATTTAATATGATTTATATCCATTTGCTGGATAAGAAGGATAAGAGTCCCCACCTAACTAAACTCTATTTTTTAATGGTGGGGTAGGTGCCAGACACTAGGGAGTCAAATTCTACGGCAAAGTAGAACTGTGGTCGGATTTCAGCATTTATCGGAGCTTGGTGTGTCTGCAAGCGCTGAGAGCCAAGGGGATGGCGGTGGCGGTGGCAGGCTACGAGGATGGGTCAGAGGCTATTAAACAGAAGCCTGCCGTCTTGCTCCCCGGTCAAGGGGTCAGGGCGGTGGAGGCTTCCAGCTGCCACTCCTCACTAACGCTATCATCACAGCTGGAAAGGCAGTATGGTCAGTAAGCCACTTCACATCACATTTTAAAGAAGGCAACTTATAAATTATAAATTAAGTAATAAAATATTTCTAAAACTACCAAAGTACCTTTAGGATGAATGGGATTTTCTTTTTGCGTCGATGTTTCCACTGCTGTGAAGATTTAGTCTCACTGGCATGTATGATGTTTATGGAGGGAATTTAACCACCTTAAAACCCAACTATGAAATAGAATTTGACAGAATTAAGGAAACGTGTGAGTTTCAGGCTGCTTTAAAAATAGATTGTGCCTTTCTGCTTTTAAGGAAAGGTAATAATGGGATAGGTGAAGTAATCAAATAGATGATCTGTTGGACCAGATTTAGGTAGTAGCTATAAAATGAAACCTTTATTATTTAAAATTATTATACAAGTATATTAAAATGGCTCTAGACATCACCCATCAGAATTGCTGTGGTCCATCCTCCAATTGTCTCCTGTTCTGCAAATGTCTCCTCCGAAGGGAGCCAATAAATGGGAGTGTTACTGGAAGACTGGGTCTTAAATTCCATTTATCTGTATGAAAGGGAGGCTAGAGTTGGATGATACATAAAAAATGTGAAAATATGCCCCTGGGCTGAGGTGCAGCTCTCCACCCAGAATGAACTGCTGTGTAATGAGGGCATCATTCCTGGGGAGGAACTTCATCTGCAGGGGAAACTCATGCCCATTCTCAACTTGTTACCTACACATTTCTGCATTAAGGTGGTGCAAATTACTGAGATCTTTACCCAAAGTTCTTACCAACCTAAAAAATGTTAAATCAGATACTAATGGAAGCCCACGAGAAAGAAAGATCTCAATCTGCAACTTAACGTTTCTCTGCAGCAACCCTGTGTCCACCTCTTGATTTCTTTAGATATTTGCAGCCTAGCTCACAAAATCATCTTGCCCAGATTGCTATTACTTGGCCTTTTCTCAAACAGCCATAGGTTTCAGAATCTAAACCATCTAGTGTTCTTTTTATTCCAAGTTCTGACCCTTGCATATTTGTATAGAAGAAATATTTTTAAAGTAGGGCATGAAAGAGTGTAAAGTTAATGTTATTTACTTAAATGATTGACTAATTTATATAAATTGTTTTACATACTCAAAGTAATTGATCATAAAAATACCTTATATTTAGGTTAGTTTTCATTGCTGCTACAGTTACTGTGGTTAATGAGTTTTTACTGCTACCATTGATGAAGGTGATTTCTGTGCAGTTTATTTATTGACTGTAAAGTTCTGTCCTAGAAAACTCATGCAATGTGGTGTTCTTCCATAAAACTTGCCTTACTCCTCAAGTTCCCAGTTCTCTTCATCTTTATTGTGCTCAAGGCTTTTATCACTTAACTCTTTCTGTCCACTTAGCTATCCCTTACCCACTTTTTATCTCTTAACTTTTCCCTTCAATTTTTCATGGGTTTTCATTTTAACTTCCTAATTGATTGTAAGCTCCTCGATGAGAGATACTTTACAGCAGCAGTATATTATACACCGTGAGTCTCAGGTTGTGCCACACATAGTTGTTGATTGATGGGAGTTAATAATCAACTTTATGTCTTCATTCATATTTCATTGACTGTCTCCAATGTCACATCAGCATTAATAAATATCTGAAATATGCATCCACTTCTTCCCCAGGTCAATCAGCTTCATGGCATCCCGAAGCTTCTGCAGCTCCTAAAAGTTCAGAATGAAGATGTTCAGAGAGCCGTGTGTGGGGCCCTGAGAAACCTGGTGTTTGAAGACAATGACAACAAAGTGGAGGTAGCTGAGCTCAACGGGGTACCTCGGCTGCTGCAGGTGCTGAAGCAAACCAGAGACCTGGAGACTAAGAAACAAATAACAGGTAGTGCTTATTTACTATTAAAGGCCTTACAGGGTGCACCCCAGCTGGATGTGTTATGTCTTCTGCTTTTTTTTTAAAGTTTCCTGGAACAAATGATTCCTGGGTTCATTGTTATTTGACAGATGACTTTCAAGGAACACTGTCCCCTGCTGGTTAGGACCCCCAGGTTTAAGTCAGGTTTAAATTCCTTTTCTTTTGAAGGGGGAGATTATTCAGAGGCTTTTGCTTAATGTTTTTAATTAGAAACCGTGTGCACCTTTGAGTATATGTCTTTAAAACAACTTATTGGCAAGACCGAAAGAAATTTTGCATAAATTCACTAACAGTGAACTTGATAAGTTTAAGAATCTGTGGAATTTCAGTATTGTCCAAGGTATCCAAAACATTCTGAAGAAACCCAACAGGAACCACACCCAATTCTTTTTACTATTTACTCAACACTCTATTTGCTAAATCAATACAAAGAAAGTACATTGGGGAGTCAAATTGTATCCCAATGTAGAGGATCAGTCTGATCAAATTAGTCAAAATACCAGAAACTCTATTTCCCAGTCCTTTCATCACCTGAACCCCTCAACATACCAGCTCCCTATCCCACCTAGCCCTCTGTCCACCCCCCCTCAAAAATAGAGAAAAGAGAGAGTGGATGAATGTGTTTTCCAGTTCTGTACTTTATATTTCTGTTCAAATACTGGTATGAACAAATAAATATCTTGTTTCTGCCTAATGGATTAAAAATATGAACTAATAAGATAGAATTAAAGCAACAATTTTAGTGATCCTTGAAGCACAGAGGGAGGCCTAGTTTCATTTAAATGAGTGATGAGTAGGATCTAGGAGAACATGGTTGGTTCATTGATGTTGGGGCCCACCCTCCCAGCCACCACCATCAGCTCTCTGCTGTAGCTCCCTGCACACATCACAGAGTGCAAGAAGCATTCCTGAACACACTCATCAGTAGTATTGCCTTGAGGAAACTATAAATAGCTTCAGTGTCCCAGGTGATACACATACCTTTTAAATCTTAAGTATAAGCGGCATTGTTCCCTCTTGGACCCCTCCCCCACATACAGCCCCACTACACAGTGACCTTGGTTGCCCTGCCCTGGCTATACCTAAGGCTCCACCCCTTACTACATAACAAGCGCCAAGACAAAAAATATGGGCCAAATGAAAGAACAGATCAAAACTTAAGAAAAAATAGAACTAAGTAATAAAGAGATAGCCAACCTATCAGATGCAGAGTTCAAAACACTGGTAATCAAGATGCTCACAGAATTCAACCAGAATAGAATGAAGAAACAATTTTAAAAAATGAGGAGAGGAACCTCCAGAACAACTTTAAAAGTTCCAACATCCATATCATAGGGGTACCTGAAGGAGAAGAGGAAGAGCAACAGATTGAAAACTCATTGGAAAAAATAATGAAGGAGAGCTTCCCCAATCTGGCAAAGGAAATAGACTTCCAGGAAGTCCAGGAAGCTCAGAGAGTCCCAAAGAAGTTGGACCCAAGGAAGCACACACCAAGACACATCATAATTACATTACCCAAGATGAAAGATAAGGAGAGAATCTAAAAAAGCAGCAAGAGAAAAGGAGAGGGTTACCTACAAGGCAGTTCCCATAGGAATCTCAGCTGATTTCTTGCCTGCAAGAACCCTGCAAGAAACCTTGCAGGCAAGAAGGGGCTGGAAAGAAGTATTCCAAGTCATGAAAGGCAAGGACCTACATCCAAGAATACTCCATCCAACAAAGCTATTTAGAATGGAAGGGCAGATAAAGTGCTTCCCAGGTAAGGTCAAGTTAAAGGAGTTCATCATCACTAAGCCCTTATTGTATGAAATGTTAAAGGGACTTATCTAAAATAAAGAAGATCAAAACTATGAGCAGTAAAATGCCAACAAACTCACAACTATCAACAACTGAAACTAAAAAAAAAAAAAAGATGAACTAAGCAAACAACTAGAACAGGAACAGAATCAAAGAAATGGAGTTCACATGGAGGGTTATCAGCGGGGAGGGGGAAAGGGAGAGACGGGGAGAAGGTACAGAGAACAAGAAGCATAAATGGTAGGTACAAAATAGACAAGGGAAGTATAAGAATAGCATAGGAAATGGAGAAGCCAAAGAACTTAATATGTGTGGCCCACAGACATGAACTAAGGGTGGAGGGGGATGATGGTGGGAGATGGGGTACAGGGTGAAGGGAGTAAAGGGGGAAAAATGGGACAACTGTAATAGCATAATTAATAAAATGTGTTTTAAAAATAATAAAATTTAAGTATAACAAAGCTTTAGGTTTTGAGATATTTTTAGGCATTATTGGATATTTAATCTCAATTTTACATATGAAAAAACTAAAACCCAAAGAAATGAACCCTTTTACTATATAAACTTTTTTAATGGTAATAGTTGACAGTGTTCTTATTTAAAAAAGAGGTACTTCACAAATATGATTTTTAATTGAATATCTTGTGCCATGCCATCCTCACTTTATTATGTAAGTTTTTTTTCCTGTAAAAACTTTATATCCTCTCATTTTTACCTTAAAATATAAGGTTTTTTTTATCTTGGTATAATTTAATTTTGTAAAACCATCCAAAGAAAGGTTAGTAGCATGTGACCCTTCTGCTAGCATGCTGTCATGTCCCACAGGATAGTTCCTTTCGTGTTTCTGAATTGTATTAAAATACCTGCAGAAATGAAAAGGCATCTCACTCATTCATTCACTCAGCTGGCATTTCCAGGGCAGCCTGCAAGTGCCATGCAGTGAAAATCACAGTCCAGAGAGGTCGTGGATTTTATTTTCCAGCTACCAAACCATCAACAATTATGTAATGGTTGACATTTTTAAAAAAGACACCTTACATTTAGATTAGAACCTAACATTTTCTTCATTAAAATATAGTAATGAACCACTAGAGAGAATCAGATTGTGTTTTACAGTCAAAAAAGACTTCATATAGGAGGTGTGTTTCATTGTGGACCTTAAGAGAGGGATAGGCTTTGGACTGGTGTCTATAAAGAAGAATGAAGTTATCCCCAGCAAAGTGAACATCACTACTGGCAGAGCAAAGAAGCAGAAGGAAGCCACTTATCACTTAGAGGAAGCTTGGAGAAGGGCGATTGAGGCTAAGGTACTGTGGTTCCTGGAAAGTTTGGGAGGTTGTATGAGGTGGTATGGGTGTGTGTCAAGGAAGTAATCCATTGAACCAGGCTTCCTCTTCTTTTGTGTAAGCAATAGGAAGCAGGTCAGAGAACATTGTGTGGCATCGATGCCATAGAGACCACTAAATGGAGGTTAATTGTTCAAGGCCCCGGATTTCTAGTACAAAACAAACATTCCTACCAGAGGGTGTTCAATACATGTTAACTGATTTGACTTGATACTTGAATGTTGGATACAAATTCTTATAAATAACTTCCTTTAGCTCTATTAATAGAAAAGTTAAGTAAGTGCTTTCCTGGCCTTAAAAATAAGTTGTTGACTTAAATAGACATATTTATATCTTTGTTTAGAAATACAAAATGAGTAATCATATATGTGAATCTCTCCTTGTCTATTTCATAAACATCTTTTTATGGAGCCCCTTTTATGTGCTAGCCACTAAGCGTGGGCTTTTCATTTTTCATCTCGGTTCCTCCTGCCAGCTCCAAAAGGCTTTATTGACGATTTGTATATTGATCAATGTGAGGTATGGGGCAGGGAGTGAATTGTCCAAGGTTACTTACACAGCTAGGAAAGAATAAAGCCAAGATTTCAACTAGTTTTATCTGAGTGTTTTGCTGTATCAAAGTGGCTCCCACCTACATCTTGGGGCCAGGGGACCTTGATGTTTTTACTCATATTTGGGAAGGGGCTTGTCTTTGAGCATCTCAGAGCGGAGAGCCCTCTCTCACTTCTCTTTGACCCTCCCTCTCTCCTTGTTACTGTCTGGGTTTGGCCCTCTTCCTCTCTCTGGTCTGCTCTTGCCCTAGCTTCGTACCTAGCCCATGTGATTCAGTATCGCACATGCCCAGTCGGTCCACTACTCCACTAGTGATTTCTTTCCAAAAAGGAAATACTGTCTCTTTAAGGCCCCCATTACTTGTAAGATAAAGTCTGCTCTGTAGATGTGGGCCTGGTGACCACGGGCAGCAGGGTCTCCTCTCCTACGCTTCCATCCCAACTTCTAAAGTCCTAAAGGATCTGCTGGTCTGTTCATGTTTCCTTTCTGTCTCGGTATCTGTGCCACTGTTGTCTTGGACTGGAGTCCTCTTCCACACCTAGAGAACCTTCTCATTCTTCCATAGCTGTCTCAAATATCACTTTTCTCAAGTGTTTTCAAATGCCATCCCTCTAGTCTTTACTTTCAGCCCGTCCCCGCAGTTTTGAAGGGACTTCTCTGAACTACCTTTGCATCCTTTAATAATAGGTTGCCATGTATTTCATGCCTGTCTGTTTATTGCAGTAACAACTGTGGTACTCATGTAAGTTTCTGAACAACTGTGGATGTCTGACCAAGTATAAAAAAAAGAGACTTGTGGCCCGGAAATATTTAGATTATACACAAATAAGAGAATTGGATGTGTTTTCAGATAAGACCTTGATTTTTCTGCCCAAGTTATTAAAAGAACTGTGTGTGTGTGTGCGCGCGCGCACCTAAATTTAGGATCAGAGCTTTGTTTGTTGAAAAAAATGTCAAAACACTGATCTTTCTGGCATTTTCTGATTTTCTGTACCAGCCTAAGAGGGAAGGTCTTCCCTCTTTCAATGAAAAGGCTTCAGAATCAAAGCTTTCTCCCTCATCAGACTGTTCCTGCTCCCTTACCAGTGAGTGTGGTAGTGCACTGTGGAATGGGAACAGTGCGTACTAGTCTCAGAGATTCATCTTCAAGGTCACTGAGTAATGGGCCCTGGCTGTAGTGTGCAGGGTCTACCTTGGATAAAAACAGGTAATAAGAATGAAGCAGTAGATTCTTGTCCCTCTTCTGCATATCACAGAGGAAGAGTCAGGGGATGACTACCAGTGAAATTTGTTGCAAATTCATATTAACCTTTGCATAGTGTATGAAAATATTCCTTATGTACTTTCTTTAAATAACTTTATACTGTGCTTTCTGTATTTGTAATGTACACAAGGTACTCTGGGTTTATTTATAACTTGGAATAAATAACCTTTGTGATATGTGGTATTCCAGGTAACATTTATAAAATGTAGGTGAAAGGAGGAGTATATTCATGCAAAGGAGATTGTTAAAAAAATCCTCATGCTTCATGATCACTTTGGAAAACAAGGTTAAAACCCCAGTTTTCTTTCTCCTCTGCCTGCTCCCCCTTCTCCTGTACTAAAAATGAGGACTCATTTAATTATCAAATTTGCACATTTTGCTATCTAAGTGTCATGCAGACTTAGTTAAATAACTATACTTCCGGTCCTTGAGGGCAACATATTAACTAAAATGGGTTTTAATATCTGTAAGATCCCTTTACTAGTTAGGTAGCTATTTTTTTGCAAATAGCACAGTTGGTGATAAATTTCTGGATAATTCAGTTGCCATTATTGCTAATTATTCAAAGTATATCTCTTGCTAGAATCCAGTTCCTTCTCCTTTGGCTAAAGTGAGAGCTTAGTGATAGAAAAAATTGCAGGCAGAGCAGCGGCAACAGAGAACCATAATTGAAATTTAGGCACTGTGAATAAATTGGCCAGAAGTTAAAGGTGAAACAAATGAAAACCTAAACTCTAAATATTATATCAGGGATTCTAGAATCAGATCCTTGAAAGGGACATCTACTCAGGGTCAGATAGTCCCATTAGTTTTGCAGTACCAGAAATAGGAATCTTTTTTTTTAGTTGATTTTTATTTTTGAGAGGGACAGAGGAAGGGAGGGGAGAGAGAGAGAGAGAGAGAGAGAGAGAGAGAGAGAGAGAGAGAGAGAGAGAGAGAAACATTGATCTGTTGATCCACTCATTTATGCATTCATTGGTTGAGTCTTGCATATGACCTGGCCAGGGATCAAACCCACAACCTCAGTGCATCAGGATGATGCTCTAACCAACTGAGCTACCTGGCCAGGGTGGAAATCACTTTTAAAACATGAATTTCTGGAATTCATCCTGAGGTACTGGCTAAGTCACTGTGGAGTATGGCCCAGGAATATGTATGCAATTCTGAATTGCCAGTGGCTAATTTTATTTGGAAACTGCTAGTCTAGTCTAAAATTCTGGTTTCGGAATAAAACCTTCTTATCAATATTTTGGTAAAAGATGGGCTCATTTTTATCAGCTCCAGTGATAGAGCTGGGTCTTACAAGTAGACCTTTTCTGTTTTCTTCAGTGCTGTCGTAGAAGTTTATATGTGCAGTGAGCCAAAATCTCCTTCCTGAAAATTTCCACTCATTGTTTCTGGTTTCACTTCCTATAGCCACAGAAAATGATATCTGGTTGTTAAATTTGCATTTCTTTAGTTAGTGGAGAACATGCTTTCCTACATATATTAGACTCAAATATCTTTTGGCTTTGAGATAATTTTTCTACTAGTCATTGAATTTTTAATAATTTATAAGGATTCTGTGTATTAAGAGTATTAACTTTCTTATATTGTCATACATTTTTCCCCATTTGTATTTGGTCATTCATTGATGTTGTGTGTACATGTGTGAGGGTGTGTGTGTAAGTGTGTATAATCTTGACTTTCTAGTGAACATTTAAGCTCCTCCCTAGCTTGTGCCACACAGAAATTTGGCAGGTATGCTGTTTCTATATAACATCCTACGTTAAAGATTCAAAAATTATATATACTAAAACACTGCCAACCATAGAAATAATGTAGAAATAATCATTGCATGTCAAGCTGTAAATAAAGAACATTGACTATTGAAAGGAAATTCCAGTCCCTTTGTTCAAATTAATCTCCTCTGGTTTTTATTGTAAGGTGTACTTTTCCTTTGAGAGCCCTGTGTGGTCTTTTATAACAGGGAAGTGTCATTATGCTTCACACTTTTAAGCCCCTGGCAGGCAGAGACTCTTTTCTTATTGAATTTATTGGAGTGACATTGGTTAATAAAATTATACAGGTTTCAGGTGTACAATTCTGCAACACATCATCTATACACTGTATTGTGTGTTCACCACCCCAAGCCAAGTCTCCTTCCGACACCACAGGCAGAGTCTCTTAATTTGTTTGCTTATGTAGAACAGGAAGCTATTTTCCCTTTTCTCTCTTTTCTTTCTAACTTTCTTTTGTATCTTAGTAACCAGAACTCCACCTCAGATCTGCTTTTAATTGTTTTCAACCACCTTAGGAGTTTTATTCTGTCTCTCCCTGTTCCGGGGCCTTTGAGGTGAAGTGGGTGGAATGAAGTCATTGTGTTGCAAAACTGTGGCTGAGGGACACTGCTGATGACTAACCCAAATGCTAGCTTGGTCAGGAAAAGACTTCCTCATGAGCCAGAATTCCGGTCCCTACAAGACACGAGACCCAGTGTCTCGGTGGCTAATGTAAGTTAAGTGTAGGCTGCGGTGGAAATTTGGTTTTAAAATTAGTTATTTGTACACAGCCAAAGTAAACTGTTTAAGCACAAAAGACTGCATTAGGCTTGGCATGTTCTAATTGATGGGCCAAATACAAGTATGGTTGAATAGCTACCACGCTTTAACTGTATTATTTCGTTAATTAAAGTTAGGGGAGATGATATCACCACATAATTCAGCCAAGATCTCTATGTTTGCTTTTTCTTCATAAAGGAGACCGTCCTGCATACCTGTGCTTCCTCTTTCCGCTACACAGACAAAGCAGTAAAGTTAGCAAGCAGGAGGTATTGACTGGTGGTGGGAGAGTGAATAGGAAGAAAATGAAGATCCCTTCTTTCTGTTCCCTCTCTGTTCTCTCTCCTTTCCTAGATGCTAACGAGTTAGAGAAACTCACTGAGGAATGAAGGATGGCCAAGCAGCTTTATGCTGCTGAGTCACTGGAATGAATAGCAAGCAATAGGTGTGTAGTCCTTCCACTGAAGCAGAAGTATTTGAACGAAAAATTTGTAAGAGTAACAAATCCTAAATGTACTCGTGTATACCATTTTGTATTTTTTTCTCGGTACCCAGCTTCGGCCTGTCTCACAGATGACCTGGAAAGTGTGCAGTATCCTGTTATCTTAATTTTTTCCTGAGCTGGCTTATATACCCTTTCTCTCTAGTGGGGGTGGGTGGGGGCAGAGTTCAAAAGGCAAAGGAAAGTTAAGTGAGCAGATGTGGTTCCAGCTTTAGACCAATCTTAGGCCATGCAAATTGGCAGATAGATAAAATACTTTGTCTCTCCTTTAGTGCTGAACTATGAGAAATGCATGAGGTAACCAGCATACATTCCACGAGGACATTAAATCTATCACTCGGTAGGAGTCAATAAGTAGTCATTGGTGATGTTAATCAGCCTGCTGTTGACAGGAAAAGCACAGTTGGAGGCTTGCTGCAAGCCCTTCCTGCCATTATTAGGAGGCAAATGTCAAGTGGAAGTTGCAGGTAGTCGGGAGCAGGAGGCAGAGGGAGGTGCATTTTTTTTTCATGCATCTAAGTGGGCAAAAAAATAAGACCCTTCAAAAAAGTTGAAGTCTTAGTTACAACAGGGTCATTTCAAGCCTCCCAGCTGGTGAGCTCAAAAATGGTTCTCTCAGTGCTCAGCTTTATGGCGGGGGCTTAAGAGAAACAGCAATAAATGTCTAAGGGTTTCTGGCTTTCATTGACATTCCTGATGAATTTAAACCTGCATAGTTTTTATATGGTAGTCTCTCTTCCCCTCCCCCTTATCTATTTTTTACTTGCTCTTATGGATCAGCTTCCATTGCCATCTAATTAGCTATAAAGAAGCTTTTTCTATTGGAAAAGGGGCTGCCTCCCCAGCCCACCTTTTTTTTTTTTAATAACTAGCCACAGCCCTGGCTGTGACAGCCTTGACCGGCCATTGCAGCAGTCCTCTGACCCACCGGTACTGTTTTAATTCCAGGTTTGCTGTGGAACTTGTCCTCCAGTGACAAACTCAAGAATCTCATGATAACAGAAGCCTTGCTTATCCTGACTGAAAACATCATCATCCCCTATTCGGGGTGGCCAGAGGGAGACTACCCCAAAGCAAACGGTGTGCTGGATTTTGACATATTCTACAATGTCACGGGATGCCTAAGGTAATTGCACACTGCACTCCGCCCCCTCAATACTGCATTCATGTCTGTCTAAAACTGCACCTCATTGTCTTGAGTTGTTGTGGAAATTATAAACATCCTTCTAACTACTAGAACCATGATGTAGAAATAATGACAAAGGTTCAAGTATCAATAGAGTATTGTTTCCAGACATGATTGATTTTAGAAGCTACCCATAATAGAGAGAAGGTGTCCACTGCAGCGGAGAACCCAAATAATCTGATCTCAACACCTAGGAGTCCATGTGGACTGGCCTCCCTCCTCTCACAGGGGTTATGCTTCATGCTATTTTTAACTTACAAAAATCTAATTTAATGATGAGGTTTAAAAAATTTCTTGAACCAGTGTTTTTATTATTTTCATTTTTTTATTGAGGGATAATTGGCATACATTGATTTTGGGTGTGTACCGTAGTGATTCGTGACTGTGTATACTGTGAAATGATCACCACAATAAGTCTAGTTAGCATCCATCGCCATACATGGTTAACAAATGTTTTTTGTTGGGATGAGAACTTTGAAGATTTACTCACAGTTACAACTATAGTTGCCATGCTGTACATTACATCCCCTGAACTTATTTCTTTTATAACTTGAAGTTCATATCTGCATCTTTTGACTCTCTTCAACAACTCTGTCAACACCCTGCCCCGCCCCCATCCCCACAACCCTCCTCTCACGTCTGCCAATCACCAGTCTGTTCTGTGTATCTACGATTTTGGTTTGTTTGGTGTTTTAGATTCTATGAGATCATACGATGTTTGCCTTCCTCTGCTTGACTTATTTCACTTAGCACAGTGCCCTCAAGGTCCATCCATGTTGTCACAAAAGGCAGAATTTTCTTTTATCTTTTTATGACTGAGTAATATTCCATTGTGCACATGTATACCACATTTTCTTTATCCATTTATCCATCGGTGGACACTTAGGTTGTTTCTGTAGCTTGACCATTGTGAATAATGCTGCAATGAACATGGGGTTCATCTATTTTTTGAGTGTTTTCATTTTCTTCAGATAAATACCCAGAAGTGGAATTGCTGCATCATATGGTAGTTCTAAGTTTAATGATCTGAGGAACCTCCATACCATTTGCTATAGTGGCTGCCCCAGCTTCATTTCTGCCAACAGTGCACAAGGGTTCCCTTTTCTCCACATCCTTGTAACACTTACCTGTTCACGTTTTGATGACAGCCATTCTAACAAGTGTGAAGTGATACCTCATTGTGGTTTCGATGTCCATTTCCCTGATTAGTGATGTTGAGCATCTTTTCATGTACGTGTTGGCCATCTGTATGTCTTTGGGAAAATGTCCATTGTGATTTTCTGTCCCTTTTTTAATTGGATTATTTGTTTTTTGCTATTGATATCTTATATTTTATATGTTAACCCTTTATCAGATATACAATTTGCAAATTTTTCTTCCATTCAGTAAATTGCCTTTTCATTTTCTTGATGGTTTCCCTTGCTGTGCAGAAGTTTTTTAATTTGATGTAGTTTCCCTTGTTTGTATTTTGTTGTTGTTGCCTTTAATTTTTTAAAAGACTTTATTTATTTATTTTTAGAGAGAGAAGGGAGGGAGGGAGGGAGAGAGAGAAACACCAATGTGCGGCTGCTGGGGGTCACAGCCTGCAACCCAGGCATGTACCCTGACTGGGAATCAAACCTGCGACACTTTGGTTCGCAGCCCACGCTCAATCCACTGAGCTACGCCAGCCAGGGCTTGTTGTCTTTAATTTTGATGTCAAATCTAAAAAATCATCTCCAAGACCAATCAGTGTCAGAGAGCTTACTGCCTGTATTTTCTTCTAGGAGTTTTGTCATTGTAAGTCTTTAAATCACTTTGAATTCATTTTTGCATATGGTGTAAAATGTTGGTCACTTTTGTTCTTCTGTATGTGGTTGACCACTTTTCCCAGCACTGCCTATTGAAGAGACTTTTCTTTCCCCATTGTGTATGTTTGACTCCTTGTTGTAAATTAATTGACCGTATATTGGTGGTTTTATTTCTAGGTTCTCTATTCTGTTCTATTTATCTTTGTGTCTGGTTTTATGCCAATACCCATACTTCTTTAAAAAATATCATACTGTTTTAATTAAGATAACTTTATTATATGGTTTGAAATCAGAAAGCATGATGCCTACAGTTGTTCTTTCTTAAGACCGCTTTGGCTGTTTGGGGTCTTTTGTAGTTCCATACAAATTACAAAAATTTTTTTTCCTGTGAAAAATGCAATTGGAATTTTTTTTAAGATTTTATTTACTTTTAAAGAGAGGGGAAAGGAGGGAAAAAGAGAGAGAGAAACATCAATGTGAGAGAGAAACATCCATCAGTTGCCTCTCATACACACCCCCAACTGGAGACAAACCCGCAACCTAGGCATGTTCCCTGACTGGGAATTGAACCAGCAACCTTTTACTTTGCAGGACAATGCCCAACCAACTGATCCATTGGAATTTTGATACGGATTGCATTGAACCTATAGATTGCTTTAGGTAGTGTGGACTGTTTAACAGTATTAGTTGTTCCAATCCACAAGTGTAGAATACCTTTCCATTTATGTGTCTCTTATTCAATGCCTTATAGCTTTCACTTCTTCATTTAAATTTATTCCTGTGTGTTTTTAAATAGCTATAAAGCAACATTGCCTAAAGTGACAGAATGTCTTGCCATAAAAATAGCTACAAAGAAGTGAGTTTAATCAGCATTTCTAAATATTAGGATGAAAAATGCTTGAAATGTTTTTATTTTCCCTTGGGCTGTCAGATACCAACTAAATCAAGAAGAAACAGAAACACACATAGAAGGAAGAAAAAAATGATAGTCTTAACTTCTCTAGGATCATATGTATCAAGCTTTCTCATAATTGAAAATAATCACTGCCCTTTATGTCCAAGGACTAAAAGAAATCAGAGGATATAATCAAAATTGGGCAGCTCTAAAGAAGTCAAGTTGTATTTTGCCTTTTGATCTTTTTTTCTAGTTACAGTTTTTCTTTTCTTTCTTTTTTGCTTGAGGGAACCTGGGTGTTAACTGAGGGAATTTATTATGGTAAGATGTTGCTCTTATTTCCAGCCACACAGTAGTGCACATCAGATGCACTTTTGTATAATACATTATGTTAGCTTCTGAGAGTTTCACAAAGATAAATTAGAAAGTCCTCAGGAACTTGTATCTAGCGGGGGATGCTGATGAGACAGCGATCTGGAATATTGCTGCAGCGGAACGTGTTAGAGCTCTGGTTTTCAGAGGGGGGGCCCCAGGGCAGCAGCATCGGAGTCACCACATTTTTAATTCTTGGGTGAATTCCAAGCCCAGAGCTACTGAATCAGAAGCTTTCGGGGTGAGGCCCAGCAGTCCACTGCTATGCTAACAAGCCCCCAGGTGATTCTGATGTACTGCTGCTGTCTAAGGTCCAAGCGCAGTGCTGCAGGAATGCAGGACAGAGGGCCATTCATGCCCTCCAAGTGAGATAAGAAGACACTGAAGAAGAGGCGCCAGGTGAGCCGGGCCTTGGTGGACTATTGAAATAGTCACAAATTCTCTAAGGAGAAGGGCTGAATTCTTGAACGGCGAAAGAGGTGCCTAAATGGTCTCCCTCGAATTCATCTTCTGTACAGTCCATGGGAACTGCTCTTTTAATGCATTTTTGAGCTTTTCAAAAATTTTAAAACATTTTACATTTTAAAAGTTCTCTGTAGCTTCTATTGCTTTACTGTATACAGCAGAGTTCTTACTGTGGCAGGTGTACCAGTCAGGGTTACTTCAGTAGAAAATGGCAGGTGTTCAACCCAAACTCACTAGTGCCAAGTTGGGATTTTTTTTTAAGATTTCATTTATTTATTTTTAGAGAGGGAAGGGGGGGAGAGAGAGAGAGAGAGAGAGAGAGAGAGAGAGAGGGAGAGAGAGAGAGGGAGAGAGGGAGAGAGAGAGAGAAACATCAATGTGCAGTTGCTGGGGGTCATGGCCTGCAACCCGGGCATGTGCCCTGACTGGGAATTGAACCTGCAACGCTTTGGTTCGCAGTCCGAGCTCAATCCACTGAGTTACGCCAGCCAGGGTGGGATTTTTTTTAATCTCATCTTTGTTTACAGTTCTTCTGCACGTTATGCTCATTCTTGACAAAGGCAGACAAGCATTTACAGTTTTAAAATCTTTAATCTGTAACCCCTAGCAGAGTTTCTGGCACATAGTATGCAAGTATAAAGTATATGAAGGAAAAGAATAAATGAATGAGTGAGCAAATGGAGATATGTATGACAAATTAGGTGAATGATCAAGTCTGGCAAGAGTATCAAATTTGTGATGTACAGAAATCAAACGGAAGTTGGAAACACAGGCCGAGACCAGACTGTGAAGGCCCTCAAGGTCATGTTAAGGAGTTCATTATGGTCTCCTGTAAGCAATATTAGCTAGTGTGGGGAGGATAGGAATATAATAAGTTCAAGGTGAAGACAAATAATTATATCAACAGGAAAGGTATATTGAGAAGGTAAAAATCTGTTCTTAACTCCACACGTGTGACATCATGTTGGCAGCTCGAAATCAGCCATGGTAGAGCATTTATACCACAGAAATTGGCAAACACTCTAAATCAGAAGTGTCCCTGCTTCCCTGCCCCCCGAAAGCTGGTTGTTAAAAATTTATCAGTAAACTGCAGGCACTGGGTTTCTATTAGTTAATTATTTTAACAGCAAAATGTGGATAGTTAAGGATATAGGCATATTTTTCCATATACATCCCTTTTCAAAGAAAAAACAAGTCCTTTGTTTTCTTGGAAGGTACTATAAAGCTTCAGCATCATCCTCTCTTTTTTTTGAGTGGAGAAAACCTAAAATACCTCATTTTATTAAAAAATATTTTCATTTACTTGGGGCAAGAAGTGTAACAGTTAAAATAATTTGATAATTTATTGCAGTCAGTAGGATACTCTTCCAGATATTTCAGATTTCAAAGGACTTCTGTGACAATCATGGAATCGTAAA